AGCCGTGTGGGCCTCGCGTGGTGCGGCACGAGGGAGCTGCGGGCATCCCCGCCCAGGTTGTTCTCCAGGAGACTTTGGTCAAGTCAACGCCCCCGGTTCCCCCGTGCCAAGTTCCCTTCGCTTTTGGGACCGGTACCGGGTCCCGTGCGACTCCCCCGACGTCCCTCCCCACACGTGCGCTGCTGCCGCCTCGCAGCTGCCCGGACCCTTCTCCCTTACCTGGTGGCTCGACCGTTCGCTTTTACAGCGTCGTGACCAAGAGGTGGTTTGAGGGGCCGTAAGAGAAAGTAACTTTTTAACAGCGGGCACCAGGCTTCAGCATGTACTCAGGTGCCGTTTATCTCCTACAGCCTGAGGTGGGACATACTTTGACCATTTTATCCGTGAGCTCTGCAAACTGCTCCTCTCTGGGACGCAGAGTAATTTTCATTGTTGGCTGTTTTCTGCGTTACCCGTCGCATGTTGTTGAATCCTGCTCTACAGCTTCCAGTCACCCTGCGGGGAAGGCTCTTGCCCGGTCTCTGGACGTTGCATCACGGCCAGTCCCCGCAGTGTTCTGGAGGTGCCACTGGATGTTTCCTGGTGTCTTCACGGGCTGTCATCTTCTTTAGGTTCCAGAGGAGCGTGTTGGATCTCTCCTTGCAGTGGAGGTTTGCCAGACTGCCCAACAATGCCAAGCTGGAGATGGTGCCGGTCTCCAGCAGAGGGGCAGTCGGAAGCACGGTACGTTCATCTCGCAGTGTGACCCCGGTTGTGTGGTTTTCAGTTGGGCTGGGTGTGAGCTCCTCACATCTTGTGAGCAAGAGCGTGGTTGGGCTTAGCCAACGCTGGGTGGAAGAGCACCCAAAGACTGGTTGAGACATGGTGGAAAAGGGTACTTGAGTAGCTGGAAGCCTTTGCTTACAGTCTGTGTGATGGTGGAGTTCCAGCCAGAGGAGAGGGAGATCTGGACAGCTGCTGAAAAACCAGGACTCATGAGTGTGTAAGAAGTTACACAGCAGGGATGACTTTGCTCAGCAGTTGAGCTACTAACGCAGTTCCCTTTCCTAACTTCCATTTCAGCTGCCATTGTCTGCCTCTGGATTTTGACTAAATCTCACATTCTTACAGGATTCTCTTTTGATTCTTTGCCAGCATTGCTGCTCACGGTGTGTTCATGCAGCTCTAGAATTTGTTGTGACGTGTGCTGTGTTCAGCAGTTGTTGAATGTCCCTGTTTAGTATCATCTACAAAGGGGCTTACGGGTGCTGTATTCTGTAGGAATCACTGTCACATTTAGGATATTTAAAAATCTTTTATGCATGTCGTTGTAACAGTGGGAGGCATAACTGTTAATAAACAAACATTTTAAGTGGTGAAAATGATGTATGATCTTATTGAAGTGGCCTGGGAGTGAAAATTTATCTACCACGAAGAGTCATCTCTCTTCTCACTGACTTCCTCATATGGAGTTTCTCAATTTTTGTGAAAGCTTCAGGTCTGTTAATGCCTGTCTGCCAGATTGTGTTAGTGGTATTTTGTTGTAGACAGTGCTTTAGCTGTCACAAAGATAAACTGATACATACATCGAAAAGTGAACTTTGTAGTGTGAGCAGCTTTTGGAATCTCTGCACAAGTTTACTGTGGGCATGCCGTGTAGTTTTGGGGGTCACTGATGTCCATGTTTTTCTCTGTAAAACCTCCATGTGCTTTGCTTTGGCCCTAATATTTCCTCTCTGACTTTGTGGTAGAAACAAGTTTGTGCTCCAAATGACGTATTTAGTTAAAAAAATACCACAAGCTGGTAGCATCTGCTTAAAATTTTCAGTTAAAAAAAGTTGTGATGGCATGGAGTTTGTCTTCCAGAGGAAAGTGTTTCTATTAAAATGTTGTAGTGATGACTTGATCTGACATTTGCATCCAGTTTGGGAGGTATACTGAAGGAAAACAGTGATTTTTTTTTTTTTTTCCCCCTGTGAAGACGCATTCAGCATATCAGAAAGGGTGAGAAGGGCTGTGCACTGTAGGAGAGGGGCTATAACATGGAATCACTACTTCAGACCACAAAAGAGAAGAGCTAATGAAAGTTTAAGTTGTTACTGTTTAGCTGTATTTCAGCAGGAGAATCTACAGAAGTGAAGGTTCCCTTGGAGCGCTCAAGAGTGCCCTCGGGAAGGTGCAGCCAATGGACTCGTGAAGAGCTCAGCCTAAACAGCTGCTGACCCTTAAATCAAGAGCAGAGATTTCACCTGAAAGAATTTTACAGACAGTGTAAGAAAATACTCTGTCCAGAGCAATTGACCAAAAGAATTCCCTGCCACAGGGAACTAGTGTCAAGTAGTGTAGGAAGCTTAAAACATCCGGATAACTGTGACCAGAACGGGCACTAGTGTTGCGCCCTTACCCAGAGGCGGTGGAGACGTGGCCTCAGCCGTGCCGCCCGCCCGCAGTGATGTTGGGAATAGCTTGGCTGGGTGTCTTTTGTTATTGCCTCTTACTGAGATAACGTGCACGGAGGTAGGTGTGCTTTCCTGGGGGCTGTGGGCAGCACTTTCCCCTGAGACAGAATACACATTTGAATAAATCCCAGGTTTGTTCAGCAAATCTGATATTTTTAAAATAGAATGGGTTTGGATTTGCCTTTGCATGTAAAAGCCATTGATTCCAGTTCTAGCAAAAAATGGCTCAGATTGCCCTTGTGATGGCAGGTGATCCAGGGGTGCCATCAGTACAGTTCTAGTGTTTGGCCTTTTGTTTGTGTGTTTGTAAACCTGGAAGATAATTGGTACTGGTCTCTCTATTATTTTCTGTAGAGCCTGAGATTTTTAAAAAAACTTTTCTAATTGACTGAATAGGACTTTCGTGACATGCTTAGCTTTGAACTGTTGCCCAAAAACTGAGGCAACTGGTAGTCTGAATTTCTGGGCTGGATTCTTATAGAATGGTGATGTCAGCTGTCACCACTCTGCTGTAGCTGAGAATAATCTAAGGCTTGTCTCCAGCATAGGAGAAACCAGGAGGTTGTGTTAGTGGTGGGATGAAACAACTTAGTTCTGTTGGCTAATTGTTGATGATGCCACTGTTTCCTTTATGTAGAAAAATTCCTGTCTCTAGCAGATGACAATTTGCAGTCCTGCGAGGACTGGTAGGAGCCGAGGCAGATGACAAACATACTCCTCCAAGGACATCACAGTCGGCTGCTGGAGCGTGTGGTGTCTGTTTTGTCCCATCTCGCTCTCACCCCCCTGCTCACACACACGTCGAGGGTCCATTGAGAGCTGGCGGGGACACGTGAAAACACAGAATGAAAGCAAGCTCCTCTTGGTATTCTAGGCTAGTCTCTCCTTTGCAGACTTTTGAATAAGGCCAATCTCTGGGCTTCAGAAAACCATAGTTGACTAGAGATGCTAGGTGCTGGCTAATAGGGACTTTTTTTTTTTTTTTTTACTTTAGACAGGTGAGCTAATTAGTTAGACATTTTGAAAAAAAGGCTGAATATTCTCTGAAAGGTAAAGATAACACCTGGAGTGCTCTGCCCTTCTCCATCTCTTGGTCAGCTGCTAGATTTTTCTCTTGGGACCATCAGGAGTTTGAAGTTCTTCAGGATTTTCCTCAGTGTGTGTTCATTTTAGAAGTGCCTTGGATCTTTTTTGGGGGCGAGGGGGGGAAGCAGTTCTCTGAAGAATATGTAGGATCTGCATGAGCACTGGCTAGTGAACGCGAGTGTCCTCGTTCCAGGTTGGAAGAGGCCTGCTAGAATAGACAGCTGGCTGTCCTTTGCCTTTTACTGCAGGCATTAAAGAACTTGATAATTGAATGTCCAGAATTATTTTTGAGATTTTTTGATTAATGCACTCTAAAATTGTCTGTTAAAATTCAGTGTTTAGGAAGCATTAGTGAGTTGCAGATTACACATGGTCTCTGTGGGCTGATGGCAGTTGGTAAGGTCTTCTGTAACTCAGAGGTAGATTGGAACAGTCTTCATTGTTTCTCTGTTGGGATGTGCAAGTATACTGCTTGTTCTGCCCCAGGGAGGTTCTGCAAATTGATGCTTAAGTCGACAGAGCTCTGTGTTGATGTTTTAGTTTATGCTTCTGTATCAATCCTGTCTGGGTTGTTGGTATTGATCTTGTATGGTTGTGCAGACCCTTGCTGTAAAGCTTCAGCGAGTGTAAAACAGAACATCTCAGCTGATTGTGCTGACACGTTATTTGGGACACTTGCATCAGCCTTTCTCTCTGTGTTTCAGTTTGGGGTATGGCAGGGAAGAGGGGCCCAAGGAAGCTGGTTAATAGTCGAGGATCACCTCTCCCACGCTCTAATAGGATGTCAGGCAGCAGTGCCAAAACGCCTCCATGTGTGCAGAAGGAGCTCCTGGCCACTCAAACACAAAAAGGAGGCATACAGAGAGTAAAAGCAAGGATGGGCAGCCTGGGAGGAATAAAGAAGCCTTGTCTGAGCATCCAGTGATGAAGTTTCCCCTTCACCAGGGGGAAGTCACACTTGACCAACTTGATAAGCTTCTGTGATAAAATGACTGACCTGGTAGGGGAGGGAGAGCGGTGGGTGTTGTCTAGCTGGACTTGGGTGAGGCCCTTGCTGTGGTCTCTCATAAGATCCTCATATATAATACTCATATTCCTAGCAGAATTGAACTATTCTCTCCATTAACTGCTAAAATAATAATAATTGGATACCCCTCTGCATGTTTAACTAATGTAATCCTTCGCAGTACGTGTTTAGAAGAATGCCATGGGGTTTTGGACAGCAGGTTCTAGAGATCATTGAAATATTAAAAAGAAGTTGTGAAGGAAAAAAAGTTTTCATTCAATTTTCAGATTAATTCAGTGTGTTTTTCCTGTAGGTTCGGATTGCATTGCAGTTAGATGATGGCTCCCGTTTACAAGACACTTTTCACTGTCAGCAGGCTTTGTGGGAACTTCTCAACCATTTTGCAAAGATCAGGTGAGCAACGCAGTGAGAAGAATACTTGTTTGGGTGGATCTCTGCATAACAGGAGTTAGCTGTTACAGTGATCCAGCTAAGTCCTGCAGATTTGTAGAATTTGCTTTTATTTTACAGTGGTTTTTCCTTTGCAACGGAGATGTTTGCCTTTTCCTTGCTCTTTCGGCTTTGACAGTCCATAGTTCAATTGTAATTTTAAAATTCTGGAATAGCAGTCTTGGTTCAGGGCACCAACTGGTAACTGCTAAGGCCAGGAAGAAACTGTACTTGGATATATTGCTGCACCTGCCTTTTACACAGCCTGTTTGAAGTCAAGGTACTGCCAGCTGAGACTGTAGCCTAGATTATCCTGCTCACCAGTACTTCTGTGCTGTCGCTCCGTGTGGTGGAGGGGGTTCTTTCTTAAGGGGGTTGCTGTTGCTTTTGAGACTTACTGTTGTGGAAGTTCTTCAAGGAAGTCTGGAGCTCTCAGCAGACTATGGACTCTTCAAAAGACTGATTAGATCCTGTTTGAATGGAAGAATTTCTGGTCCTGTATTTGTAGAATATATACATGGGTTAGAAATCTTACTATGTGAGTCCAGTCTACATTCAGTGGTTTCTTTTGTCTTTAGTTTTGACCTAAAAATACTGTATTGTTTTGAAATGACAAGCTAATAAACTCTTCAGTTATTTTTGTCATGGCTTGGAGGATGAAGCCTTGAAGCTGTGGCAGCCATTCTATTCTGAACTGAATTTCCAAATTTCATTTTTTCTATTGTAGTTGGCTTTACCTTTCTCTTGATAATTTTTTTTTTCACCAGATCTCATATTTCTACTTCTTCTCTCTCACATTCCTCACCTTCTGCTAGTTGCTCTGTAGCATTTGAATCTCTTGCTCACCTGTACAGGTGCTGTGCTTTGGTATTGTGCAAACGTTGTGTTAATTTCTCTTCTAAAGAGACAGTAATGCTCTGTGTCAAAACTTTTCAGGTCTCCAAGGCTGTGGTGCTAGAAAAGGGACAAAATGAGGAGTCAGTAGGGAGGGTGATGGTGCAGTAGCATTCAGATAAGCTCAACCTTTTAGCCTAGTTACCGGATGCACAGTGATGGGTTATCACCTGGTAGCTGAGCTGTACTAATTGACTGCTTAGGGCTTATGCGTTAATACATGACAGTACATGTTAGTCTAGTACTACTTTAACTGAAGTTTAAAGTTGGGTGTTTGACGCTGCAGCGGGAACAGCCTGAGCAGCACAGTTCTGGGGTTGAGCTGGGTGACGTCTCGTTAAGTCAGGGTTGCACAGTTGAATTGTGTGATTGGAGCTGTTTCCAGGGTGAAGGAACTAATTATTCCAGCCTCCCGGTGATGTTCGTTTTCTGCTACCCCAGCTCCCTGACTGGCCCATAACAAGGTCAGAGGAGTGGCTAGTGCTGGCCCAAGGGAGGGGGTTTGGATTGGGGGCATCTTCTGTGCAGCAGTAGGGGATTGAGCAGTTAGTGCTCACGTCCTGCCCTCCTAACTCCTCTCCTACCATTTGTGCAGCTTTGTGGAGAATTGGCTTAAGTAGCTAATTCAGCTGAAGACTAGTATTTTCCCTCCTTCCCTTTCAGGTGGGTAAGTCCCTAACCCAGTCAAGGATTGCCTTTCCTAGGCAGTTAGGACGAGAAGTGTCATGTGTCTGGAAATAAGGATCCAAAAGGAGGAAGCAGCAGATAGGCAGGAATGACGTATGTCAGTTTTTCTACTCAGTGTGTCATCAAACCATAGTCCGAGGAAATGCTTGAGGTAGTCTAGTGACCCTAAAGGGATGTAAACGAATCTTACTTATCGTTTTCTTTTTGTCTTTAACGGTCAGGGACCAGGTCTACACTCTGGCATTTACTCTGAAGTCAAAAGGGACAGTCTTCATGTAAATGCTAGAGACAAAATAATTATTTTTCTTTCAGTCGAGGAAAGAGGCAGGCAAGAAGGGCCAGGTATTGTTCTCCTGGGTGCTTTAAGGCCCCTCTTGTACCTTCCTACACACTTTGTGCCCTCCGGGAGGAGAAGAGTGCCTGCCACAGTTTGGAAACTGCTGGGCTGGTGGGGTGATAATTATGGGCAGTTACAAACAGCCTTTGTGTGGCTTTCTTGCGCATTAGTTGGTTATTTCTTTGGTTTAAATTTTGAGCTTTTTATATAATTTTGCTCCTTTGGAGTGGTTTTATTTGTTGCAGGTTATTGTAATACTAATAGTTAATGTCCATGCTGCTCTTTTTAAAGTTCTAACTGCTACAGTGTGCTAAGCATTATTAACTTCAGTTCATAAGACACAGCTGTTCTTTTCTGCCCTCTGGAAGCTGAGCTCAGATGTTTGGATGGACTTTGCAAACTTTTGATTACATTCAACAAGCAGCCGAGATGCTGTGTGTGAGTTAATCACAAACCAAGCTGGATCTATAGCCACCCCTATAGATTTCACGGGCTGTGCTGCTTTTTATCGACTCAAGTTGACTGACTAGTCAGCTAGTTGTTGACTTTTGCTGAATCCTTCCTTTGACTTTCCAACTGGAGACGTTTTCCTGGAATGCTCAGCCGCTCTAAGTGCGTGAGGGGAAGTATTCTAAATCCACTGGAATTTCCCCCGGGTTTCCAGCGTCCATCTTGGCTAATTGGGTCTGAAGAAGGTCTGGAAGCTATTGTAAGGCTGCTCCTCCTCTCAGCGTGCGGCAGTCCTTGCACAAGATGTTTACAGGCCCTGTCAGATCACTACATGAAGGAATCTAATCTGCTTGCCGTTCCCCTTCTGAAGAACAGCACATCAAAGAAATGACAGTGTGTTTGATGTGTGTGCTTGCCTCAGTGAATGCATGTAACGGATTAACAGCAGCTGGAGGAGGAGCCTGCTGGCTTCCAAGAGTTATACAAAAATAAGTCTCTGGGGGATCTTTGCTTGGAGTCTGTTCTGCAGAGACTGGTTGAGGGCACAAGCGTTGTGTACCCTTTTAGCATGAGGCCTGGGAGAACTGTGGCTTTTCTGTCTCCCACTCTTGCCTGACTGGCAGCTTCAGCAGCTTTGTAGACTGTTTTACATAGTCGTGATTGCAGTCTGGACACTTGAAGACAGTTTTGACAATGACTATGACTCTTGCTACTTTTGTGGTTATCATTCATTAAGTTCAGATATTTTCCATACGTTTTTAGAAGGCTCTTTAATCCAAATAGTTGCTTGGATTGAAGTGGAAAGCAGTTGTGGAAAGGTGAATGAAACTGAATAGTCAAATCTGTTTCCTCTCTGATGGGTCTGGGTGGTGAGGATGTGTGTTCTGCTGTGCTGTGGCTTCTCTCCTCCTAAATGGTGATCATCCACCTTTTGTGATAGACAGGCAGCTTGAGCTTCAAGCTTTTATTCCTCTAGGCTGTTTCATCTGCATTCTCTGTGATTCTGTACTGTTTCCTCCATGTCTCAGCAGTCCTTTCTCTTCTGTGCACTTTTGTCAGGGATTCCTGTAGGGATGCAGCTGATCCTGATTGGAGGAAAACCCACTGAAAATGAAGTAGGGATGAGCAGCTCTCCTGGGTCGTCTGGCAGAGCCTGAGCGCATGGAGCCTGCCCTGGCATGCTGAAAATGGTCTCTTAGGTGATACTTGGTTCCAATCAAGATACAAGATTTTTTTTTCTGCCTTTCCTCATGAAGCATTGGCCTTTGGAACTTACTTGGTTACTGCTGCAAAGGAGTGAGGGAGGTCGGAGCCTGGGTCTCGAAGCACAAGGTTATGTTTGTTCTGTGTTGAGGACCTAATGGCTCCATTCCGGCAGAGCATTGTCTACGGCTTTCTGCCCCTGACAGAGAATAACTCATTGCAGAACCACGGATGGTGGCTGACCTGTCCTAGTGGTGTCTTCCCTGTTATCCTGAGGTAGAAAGTTATCGGTGACTCATAATCTGAAGCTTGGATGCAATAGCTCCGGTGCTCCGGGCCTGTCTGTCTTCTCCGCACCAGGGGTTTGGTGCCGTGGCTGGGAGCTTCCCCCGACAGAACAGCACCTCAGGACTGCAGACCCCTTGGGGCTTGTCGCAGCTGGGCTGGAAGTAGTTCTCAGCCCCTGACTTCCCTAGACCAGACCAGACCCTCAGGACTGGTTTTACAGGTTGCTCTGAATTTGCTGATTCCAGGAGTGGAGCTTCTCAGTTTCATGGTGACTCACCTTGTCCCATATCACCCTGTTGTTGCATGCTTTATTTGGTAAGGCTTAAGTTTTAACCTCTAGATCAAGACAGGAGATAGACTGCTATGATTAAACAGACGTCTCAGTTCTGGTCTGTGCTTAACAGGTTTGCTCCCCTACATCCTCCAGCCGGAAATCTTTGATCTGCTCTTGCTCTTGAGGGTTACTCAGTGATTCAGTGTCATAATTTTCCAGGTGGCTCTCTCAATCCAACTATTTCATTTACATTTCATTGAAGCTGAGTTTTGAGTCTAAATGTAAATGTCCTTGATGAATTTTCCCAGAACTAAATGCCTATTTCCCTTCATTTGCTGCTCTGTAGGCTGGTTGACTCCCTCTCTGTTCAGTTTGTTTTGTCACTTTGTGCTGGGCTAAACAGATTTGTGTTAAAATACTATGTAAGATGTTGGATATATATTCTTCTAAGTTGCTCATTTGTGATGTGTTTTGGACCTAATAGAAAGACTACATAGGATAATACTGGCAAAGCTGTTTTGTTAGTAACTTTGAACATTATGGTGAACTGGGATCATTGGAACCGCTGCACTGGCAGTAGTCAGGTGCATTTGGGTTGCAGACTTTGGCTTCTGCTGCGCAAGCAGATTGCTGAAGTGCTAAGGGTTATTTTCTTCTTACCTGAACAGAAAACCTTATCCCTGTCTTAAGGCAGTCTTTCCATAGTTGCATGCCTGTTTGTGGACTTACCAGCTGTGAAGTAGAAGCAGTAGTCAGTGTGGCCACAGCACAGACACTGTAACCTGCGTAGTCACTTCAGAACTGGATGCTTGGCTGACAGAAGGGACTCTCACTGTTGCCTATGGGGTCCTTTTACGTTGTGGAACTCTGTTCATTAAACCCCCTTCCAGGAGAAGTCAGAGTGGACCCAGCCTTGATGACTGCCATCCTTTTCTTATGGTCATTCCCTGTTCCTTCCCGCAGATCTGACACTCACAAATTAAAGCACCAAATAGAGAATGAGTCCCTGAAGGTACAAGTGGTAAGTGTAAGTGATAAACTAGATACAAGCAGTCTGACTTCCTGCTTAAATTTTGTGGCACTTGGACACCAAGTTGATGAATGTTTTGCAAATATATTTAGGAGAATGACTGCTACAGCAGAATTACGAACAGTGCAGAGAAATGATTGAAGTAGAAATATCTTTTCAAAGCTTCTAATTTCCAGTGAAAAATGCTGGATTGTTTTTTGGGCTGCCAGTGTCCTGCAGGTTTTGGTTTTTCCTGTGAAGTTCACTGCAGACACTACAATCTGGTGACTTAAGAGGCAGTTGAGTGCAAGTGTTTACATAACCCTGTAAGTCAGTTGTTTGCAAAGCTCCTCCTGAGTTCAGTAGCCCACCCCAGCGTAATAGGGCATAAAATGACTTCAGGGACCAGCCTCAGATGAGCCAGGCTGTGTTGCTTTACTGGGCTGTCGGGTGGGTTTCCTTAGCCGATGTGCAGGGGGGTGGTTTCTCTGTGAGTCACCCAAGGTGATGGGTGATCGTTTCCTGGTGGGGGAGGCTTAGGAGAAAGCCATTTTCTTCTCTCCAGAGACGGGACTCCAGAGCGCGTTAAGATCAAGGGAGTTTACCATGAGGAAGAATCTCGGCTGTTTTGCTTTTGAGGATAAACCAGCTGTTGCAGTGCAGATGGTGTATGCAGCCCCTTACCGGGGGTGTCCCCGCGCAGGACACGACGTGCTGGCGGGAGCTACTGGGGTGTTACTGAGGAGGGTGAATCTCCTTGGTTCTTATCTTGTTGATGGGGAGTATCCTGGGATAATTTTCTCACCTTTTATTTTGTCTTTTCCCCTGCTAAATTAGGCTGAAACTTTTGAATCTAAAACTTTTGAAAAAAACACTCCTGAGAGTTCATCGAATCATAGAATTCAGCCAGTTACCTCTTCAAGCCACCACTGTCCCAGGGTGGACAGTATTCTCTTGGTCGGCTCTTGCCATTGGTGTGCTTTTGGGGGACAAGCAAACAATTTTTCTTAATTTCATGTTTTACCATGTTCTCAGCTGATTTCAGGTTGAGTTTTGCTTTGACTGCTGAAGGGGAGATGCACACGAGAGAGTTTCTTCTGCTGTTGAATCTAAGTCTCTCACTGATTTCAGTCCTCCAGTGTAATATACTGGTTAATTCTTTAAGGCTTTTTTTTCTACAGACATCTGAGGTTTCCTCACTAAAAGTGTTAGTCCTTCCCCCCCATTAAGAACACCCTGTTGGTAGGGTTTTCCACATGTACTCTCTTTTTTGAAATTACATGATCTTGGATGTATGAGAACTGAGACTTGCTGTGACAGGCAGTGATCGTCTTTTCCCTGTCCATCTTCCATTTGATCAAGTGAATATGTAATAAAGCTTCTCTTCTACTTGAATGCCTCAGAATTGCTTATCTAGAGGAAAAAGGGAAGAGTAACACCTTACTATTTTTCCCTCTTCTCTCTGCTGAGAGTCCTTCACTTATATCTTCCTCTGCAATCCTGTCAGCAGTTTGCATCTCTGGTAGTGTGTGTCCTGCCTCCCTGAAATGCCCAAATGCAGGGTGATCTTCACTGCGTCTGCTGCAGCAGCCTTCCCTTTGGCTTTGTTTTGTCCCTGATATCCAGAATCTGAAAGCTTCTACTGTTTCTTTTTTTTCTTTCATCTTTTATTTTTTAATCTGTCTGATACTAAGGCAAATTCTTTGTCCCCAGATTACTTGCTTTAGAGCAGGATTTGGTTCTGTCTGTTTGCTCTGCATACATGGCAGGGAACTGACCTGTCCCCAAGGAAAGCACAGCCCAAACTGTAATAAACTATTTAACTCAGATAAGGGATTAAAAAGAGTAAGTATTATTAAGACACATCCCAGATCAGGTACTGAGGCACATGAAGAATGATGTGCTCCAGTTTATCTAGTAAGATTGACTAATTTCAGAATTAACTTTAATTATTTCTCCTTTGTTTTTAAACTTTCAGGGCTGTTTTTAAGGAACAGTGAATGCATTGGAGCAAATTCTTTACCCTAATGTCTAATAAAGACTCTGTGAACTGTGTGATGGTTGTTGCTGGAGGAACGTAAAGGAGAGCATTGCTAGCTAATTTCACTCCTTACTATTGCTGTACTTTTTTGGAGGGGGTAGACTGTTCTACAGATGCTGCAATATTTTGCTCTTTATTGCAGGGAGTTTATGGAACAGCCTGGTGAATTCTCTCCAGTCTGTATTTACATGCGAGATGAGGTAAGTCAGCAAAGTCTTCTTAACTGTCTTTTCTCCTTCTGTCCCTAAAAAATAAGAAAAACTCAGCTCTGCTTTCCAACCTGGAAAGTGTTTCTTTTGAACTTTCTTGAGAGGGGAAGTAGAAAAATGTTGGTCTTTTCAAAGCATGACGTGTCCGTATGGAAAAAAGCTCTCTTGGAACGTAACCCTGGGCCGTTTAGACCTCTGAGCCCATAAAATGAGCTCAATGACCTGTTTGTGTTTTTCTTTCCAACTTCTTTTAAAGCTCGAGTCAAAACAGTGGTTTCATTTTAATAAATATTTGCTTTTCTCTGTTTTGATCTTTTGCTATTAATGTTTTGTTTAATATTTTGTATGTGTGTATTATGGAATTTGCTCTCCCTAGCTGTCCCCTTCACTTCCCACTGACCTCTGTGGACAGATCATCTTTATTCTGGAACAGGTCATGACAAGCAGATGGGAGGTGTCTGTAATGAAATCGCCTGTCTTTCAATTCTGAGGTGTTGTCTGTGATTTAACACGAGTAATGCTTTGCCAAGGTGGGATCCGATTTGGATGTATGCATGGGATGGAAGTGTCAGTAGGTCACCTTCCCTTGAGGTGATTTAATAAGCAGTGAATTTGGTAAAGCAGTACAGGTGAACACAGATGGATTCAGGTCTCATTTCCAACTGCAGAAAGTGTGTTTGGAGCTGTTTCTGGTGCTGTGTAGTGTTTCTTTTGATGGAAGCTTCTTTCTAGACAGAGCAATTTAAATGCTCTCCCAGGTAGGCAGTTGCCATAATTACTTTCCTTTGGTTTTGTTGCAGATAACAGGAAAAGATGCCCTAGAGAAGACAACACTGAAGTCACTTGGCCTGACTGGAGGCAGTGCCATCATCAGGTTGGGAGGAGCAAAGTTGGGATTCTTTATTTTTCCTTTCTGCTTTGATGGTGAATTTGTTTTGTTTCAAATACCAAAAAAAAAGCACGAAAAAAAGTTCAAAAAGACAAACATCGCGGCACTCAGTAATTATTGCATTTGCCTGTTTATCTGAAACTGCTGCCCAGATGTGCTTCCCACAGCTGCAGATGCTGGCACTGACCAGTCATGTGCAGATTAAAGGGGCTTGTTTGCTTCTTTCTCTCTTTTTTTTTTTTTTTTTTTTTTTTTTTTTTTTTTCCTATGAGTGAAACAGACAGTTCAAAGTTAAAAGTCCTCTGTGAGGACAGTCATCTCCCACTTCATTCTTCCCCGCTCTGGATTTCAGCATCAAGCTCCCAGTCCCCGCAGTGCCTCCTGCTGCCTGTTGGGAGGGTGAGGTGGGGGACACGACAGCCTTTCTGTGATCCTCTGGCCAGTTCTGTGCAGCGTGTGCAGAAGGCAGGAGTGATTAGAAGCTGTGCTTTACAACTGACTGCTGTGTTTTACTGGAAGGCAGTTTTCTCCCTCTGGAGTGGCTAGTTCCTGTTCTGCTTTTCTGCACAAACCCCCGACCCCCCACCCCTAACTTCAGAGCAATTGGAGCTTGTTCTTTGTGAGTGTCTGGAAGAAGCAGATTGTTAAATTAAGGGTATATTTGAGTGTAGCTGTCTTTTTTTGGTGTCATGGTCACATTAAGAATGGGGAGGGCAGTACTGTTAGGATAAATGATTTTGGTTTTATTCCTTCTGGTGTCTCCTTTAAGAGTTGTCATGAAGAAGTGCAGCTCATCTGGTCAGGAGGAAGCTGTGGGTGCCACCGTGCCATGTGATGAGCTGACAGGGAGGCCAGACTCTGTTGAAGCAGCAGTGGATGTGCCCCTACCTCAAGCAAACACATTCCCAGAGGACTTGGACCACAGGGAGGTGGCCATGTCTTTAAACAGCTCCACAGACAAGCAAGACTCAGTTAGAGAATCCCATGCCAGCTTGGAGGAGCTGCGGCCTTCGCCAGAGCCCAAGTCTACCCCATTTGTCCCTTTTTTTGGAGATGGACAGCGTCTGGGGGACTCTTCCGTAGCTGCACTATCTCTTGGGTTAGATACGCCATCTTCAAAGCTGCCAACGACTTTTTCCAGCCCTGGAGGTCCCTCAAAGCCAAAGAAGTCAAAGAACAGCCAAGAACTGCAGAAGGAGCAGGAACAGGTAAGGGAAAATTTGTTTGCAATGAGGGCTTTTTTTAATCCTGCCTTGCCCGAGGCTGAGCTCTTATGAGGAAAAAGATGTTTCCGTATTTAAGACTTTTCCCCCATAATATAGGATTAGGTGCCTTGGTGACATACCGTTCTGCCAAGAGTTCAGTAAGGCAATGCTGCATTTTGGACAGTTTACTGTAGGAAATACAAAGGATGGGAATTTAAGAATTTGCTGTCCAGAGGCAAGCAAAGCTTTGAACATTGAGGTACCCTTGATGAATGGCTCCAATGGGGGCAACACAACTGCATTAAAAGTACAGTCCAGAACAACCTCAAATTCCATGAAAATGTCATTAACAAATGGCCACTTTGTCACCTGATCCCCGGGTACTTGTCCATCTTTTAAAAATCTCTCTACTGTGTGGTCCTGCTGAAGAGGAGCAGAGTTTGGTCAGACTTGGGGTGTGTAATGCACTAAAGGTGCTTACTGCTTGTCATTGACTTATCTCCCAGATCACACAGAGGGTATAAGCTTGGTAGAGTTTTACATAGGGAAGGGGATAACTCTTTTTTAGCTGCTTGTAGGACTGTCCTAGGAGCAGAAGTGGTCTTAATAGGTTTGTTGCAACTTGATCCTGTGACTTCTAAGATCTGAGAACATGGTCACAGTTTCTAACTTGTAGGTTGTAAGGTGTGCTCAGGTTTCACCTCTGAGCTTTTCTGTGGAACACGGAACTCCGTAGTAAAGCTGTTGTAAAGGCAGTATCCCATGCTGGTAGTTGTTAGCATCTGCTTCCTCGGAGCTCCTTCTGCCTGTGGTCGCTCTGACTTGCACTTTAACTCTTTCAGTGACGTGTGGTAGAATGTAAGGGGTATAGATCTAGGAAGGAAATTCTTCAGCTACAGTTGCATCTTACTTGCCAAGAAAAAAATGGGTCTGGACCTCTTCTCTTCCTTTCAGTCCCACCCCTTCTGTGAGTCTTCGTTTTCTTAGTACTGCAGATGAAGCAGAAACCGTCCATCCTTTTCCTTTATTTCTGCTTGCATATAGAAGTGTTTTCTGTCTTGTTCTCAAATTTCCTGCTTCTTAAATGAAGTCTGCCTCTCTCTAACCCTTCTCCCAGAAAGACAAATTGCACATCTAATCATCATTGTTGGTGTTGCTGAAGTAAAACTGTATTGGTTAAAATTAAAAGTGCTGTAGCGCCAGAACGGGTGGCTCGAGTGCTGCGATGCCATCATGGGATGGCCTTTGATATTGAGTAGGGCAGCTGTATGGAGTTGAATGCTTTCAGCAGGGTTGGATATGTCTGGCAGTGAAGTGCAGAAGACATTAAAGTAACATATTACTCCACAATATTGTGTGTTTGCAGTGTCGCATCCCAAATTCTCTGTGGCTCTTTCCCTTGCCCCTTTACCGCACACATCGTCACGAGGGCTGGCGTTCACGTTCAGAGATCCCCTTTGTTGTTTCTCACTCTTCTGTACCTCCTAGAGTTGGAGTCTTGTATTTAATTCTGGTTCTGATCCAGCCATGGGATTAAACAACGGAAAGCCCGAAGTAGGAAGAAAGGGTGCCTGATGAGGTTCCAAAGGAGCTCAGTCCAGGAGGAATTTGCAAGACTGTGTGTGTGCTCTCACTGATGTAGAGATTCTACCTTAGTTGACTTTGTGGTTGCAATCCATTCTTGATGAGTTTCTGAATTACTCAGGAGCAGAAGCCAGGCCCTGGAAGGACTCTGTAGGAGTTACAAACATAGCAGAAAGAGGCCTTGCCAACCCAGTGGTGAATATTTCAGTATATTAGAAACATGTTTGGGTCCATCTAATCAGTGTTATTTAACCTTTTGGAGCAGACCCTGAGCGTGGAGGGCTGGGCAGTAGGCTGGGGGATTTGTCCAGTCTCGTGTTGCTTGCTGCAGTCACGCTCTCACCTAGGAGGGGTTTGGAAAGCAGGAGTTTCAGCTGGGTCCGAAAAGGAAGGAGGAAGTGCAAGGGTCTGTGGTGGCATCCTTCGCCGGCGCTGTTGTCTGCCCTTCTCCGTGCGCTGGCTGGGGAGGGAGAGCTCACTTTATCTCTTTGCTGGCGGTGGCTCCGCGCGAAGTTGCGCTGCTGGGTGCAGCGCTGAACGGCGGTGGCCGGGGACTCTCATCATCCGGCGTCTTTCTCAGAACTGCAGTCCAGTTCAAACCACTCAGAGGCACTTCTGGAGCCAGCTTCCCTTCCAGTTTGAGCGCAGCTTTGGAAGCAGCTGCAGATTCTGTTGGGGGGGTTCTGCCCTTGTGTTAAACAGCATGTGATTTTGACTGCTGCTTTCAAGCCCTTTGATCTCTCGTGCGTTTGCTGCTGATTGATTACATTTTGTTCCCTCCTCCATTCCTGCCATCCTCCGCTCTCCTTGCTCTCAGCAGCAACAGTGGTGCAGGGCTAGCCACATGGCATCTGCTTTTTGTCCCTTTTCAGTCCTGAGGAAAAAACCCAAAACAAAACAAATTATTTTTAAACATCAAAGGTCCATTTTTGTAAAAGAATCTTCCCATTAATGCTTTGCCTGTGTGTGGTTTTTGAAGCTGAAGAGAGAGGCTGGATAAAATCTGTGCCGGCGTCCCTTCGTTTCTTGGGCTAAAGATGTTTTACAGACAGCTGCATGCTGACTTTGATGTCAGAACATTAATTATTAGAAGGTAACTTTACACCAGATTGCCCGTGAGATTAGAGCTCCCTGAGGTGGTGGGGAGGAGGTAGGTCTCCAAGGAGAACTTGCTGCTGTGGAAAGCACAAGAGCCACCACTTCACTTAAAATGAAATAAAAGTTTTCCTCAACTTGCCTGCTTGCTTAGATCTGGGGTGGTGACCAGGGAGTCAGCTGCGTTCTTCCTGACACCCGGCTTTGTCGCGCAGACTGCCTGGAGGCAGCGCTTTAGCCTGCTGCTGAAGAGTGCCCAATGTCTCAACTTTGGTGGTAGAAGTGAGGCTTGAAGAATGAAGGTGACAAACTGTAATGCAGCATCTTTACCTCCTGAAAGATTTTGCTGTCAGCAAAAGGCACAGCCTGCTTTCCTCCAGAGTATCGTAGTGGAATGTAGAAGCTGCTGTGTGGTGGCTAGTCGCTGTTTCAGGGGATGGTCCCTTTTGTCACGGTTGCAGAAGACACCAGATGGGTTCTGGGTTGGGAGGAGAGGTGGTGCACCTGGCAGCCTCCTTTGGTCACCTGCCGTGGGAGGGTAGTTTTCAGATTCTGTCTGTGCTTTAGGATTGTTGGTGACACATTAAAATCAGGCTGTACTGAGGGTACTCATGTTGAGAAATGCCTAATTGGAACACCGAGGTGAGCAAGTGGTAATGGGTGAAGACAGGAACAGGATGATGGCTGGGCTCTAGGGAAAGAGAGAGGTGGTGGACAGCAGGAATGGTTACCCCTTTCTCTCTGAAGGGTGTTTCTCACATCTGTGAGGAGGTAAGATGTCTGGTTGGTTCCACAGGGTGTTAAATACGTGGCAGAAGAGATGTGAGCTCACTATGATGTGGCAGTCTTTGCATCCTCAGAGGCCAGACGATGGTGCCTTTTGTTGCTTGGCAGTGCTTAGCAGACACCTTGTGCTCTCCTGCTCTGATCAGACCCTGTTGTGCAATTCTGGAATTGAGTTGCAGAAACTCTGAATCCAACCACCTGAATTACATTTCACAAAAACTCACTACAGCACTCTCCAGAGGTCACACTCCGTGATCAGGGGTTAGCTGAAAATGTAATATTAGGGAATTCTTACTCTGACTGTGTGTTTTGGCAGTCTTGTTAGACGTGTGCAGATCTGCTCCTTCTTCCGTATGGGAAAGTATGTTTCTTCATGTTTAGTAGATAAGTAATGTGTCTTGGTTTGGAAGTTAAGATATTCAGCATTCGGGGTTGGATGGGGAAACATAAAATTATAGACTTAGGAGCTAAAAGGTAGCTGTGTGTCTGTGTGGGGACGGAACAGGTATCCTGCAGAAAATTAATTGGGGACATCTTGGCTGGATGTAAGTTGGAGGTCAGGAACAGGGCTTTTATGTCTGGGAAGCAGTGGATTTTTGTCCCAGTGCGTAGGTAGTTGTAGGCTGGGGGCTGGCTCCAGGGGGGATGTTCCTGACTGCCGCTTGCAGCACCTCGGTGGTGACGAGCCCCGTTTGTCTGAATGAAGGTGTCTGGAAGGCGACGCTTGAGCGGGGGCTCTAACTGCAGGCAGCAAGGAGGGGGCGTGAATCCTCGGGGCTGGGATCTGTGTCTGCCTTCTGCTGCCTCGTGATTTCTGATGTCTTGGCTGAAGTCTTTAGCTACTACCATGGTTTGGGCAGTGACTGACGCTTTCGCTGTGGAATCCTGCTACTGTTAGGATTAGCTGAAGTGCTTGCTAGAGCTAGTACTAAATGGTAAGTTTAGGATTTGCTGATGCAGGTGTTGAAATTCTCTTCATCGTATCCCAGCACTCCTCACAACATGCCATAGGATATATCTGCTCAGTCTTTGGGTTTTGACTCTCTTTGTTTTTAATAAATCTCTTTTCGGTATGTGTGTGTTCAGAATGAAATGAAACTTAAGCCTTTTTGAGGAGGTTGAAGTATACCTGATTACTGGGGGGGGCCAGATTAGTGCTCCTCTGACATCGATCGGACCTTGTCAGACCAGCTGGGCAGCCGTTGGGGCCATTGTGCAACAGGCCCTTTCCCAGAGGGTGGCTCTGCACGCTCAGGATCGCTCCTGCAGCGCTGGGCATTCCACCCCCCCGAGCCCCAGGAAAGCTGCAATCAGGCTCCTTCACCCGCTAGTTAGAGCTGACCCTGCTCAACTTTCTAAAAGTAGCCAAGGGTCCCACCCACACAACCTCACTCTTTTAATTTCTCAAATTACCCTTTAGTGCCCACAAGCAGAGTGAACATTGCCTTGTAATTTGTGTTGTTGCTTTTGACAATTGAGGGAGGCTCCTTCTGTTCCCAGGGGGCCTGTGCCTGGGACATGGGAGGATGGACGGAACGGATGGAGGGAAGACGTTTGGGCGTTAATCAGGATTGGAAAGAGTGTAAGAGGGAATAAGGGGAGAAGAAACGAGCATCAGGTTTGTCCGTAGAGACCAGAGCAGTGGTAGGCTCAGCTGACTGTGAAGTGCTGCATGAACTGTTGAAGTTTCTGTTCTCGTGGGGCTCTTCAGTCATGGGCGGCTCCCCCCGCATCGCCTGCAGCCTGCAGTACACTCTTCTGTTGGTTTTCAAGCTTTGTGCATTTAAACATTTCTGGGATGTAAAAGGTTTAAATTGTTCAAGGGCCAGTAGGTGTAACTGCCTCTCCTGTGTCTGACTCTGATAGGGGTTTAGGCATGTGCTGACAGCCCTTAGGCAAGGGAGGGGAAGGTGCCCGGTGTCCGACCCGGGCTGGGGTGTGCGCAGTGTGGCTCTGTCCTCAGGGACAGGGGAGGGTGTTTGTCCAATAGGTTGGGGGGGTGTTGAGGTTTGGCTTTTGGGGGGTATTGTGGGTTTTGGTGGCGGGTTTTGTTTGGTTTTCTTTTTTTTAATAACTGCCACCACAGTGACAGGCCAGGCCAGAGCTGTGCTGAGGGGTTGGCCATGGGGACCCCCAGCTCCGGGGGCGGGGGGCAGAGCCCGGCTGCCCTGCCCCGCTCTGTGGCTGAGGGGGCCTTGGCTGTTCGGGGTCCGTGTGCTGCCTGTCCTCAGCATCTGGCCTGCGGGGAAACTCGCCAGTAACGGTGTCGGGTACATTTATTGCAGCTAATGCTCCCCTTGCATCCACCTGCTCTGCCTGCCAGGAAGGCTGATTGTGGTGCTGAGCACTTTGTCAACGCAAACCAAAAGGGTTTTCACTGCCTGAGGGAGCTTTCTGTGCACCAGAAACGAGGTTAAAAATCTGAAATGGGCAGGATGAAACCCTGCAGGGGGGCCAGTTCAGAGAACTCAACAGGTCAAAAACTAGCTTACCAAGACACAGGATCGGTCTCTAGGGTAAGAAGAAATGGAGTGAGCCCTGGTTGGGAACTAGTGCTGTTGGTTCTGTGGCAAGAGAGTGTGAAGTGAAGAGAACAGAAGGTACGACGTGAGCCAAGAGTGCATGGCAGGTGGAAAACCTAAAAGGGCGGTTTATAGACTGTAGTGTGGAGAACAGCCCCTGTGTAAGTTGTGTGCTGCTGGCTGTGGAATGGTCAGGAAGTGGTTACATACCGGGAGAGGTTTGGCACAGAGCAGAGAGGTGGGTTATGGTGTTGGGATAGGAGTAATTTCTGAGTACTTGTAACAAGCTTGTAACTAGTTGGAAGTATGGTTCAGCTGCAAAATATCCTTTTGTTGTAAGGGAAGAGATTCCCCAGGCCCTCCCTGGAAGGGGGTCGTCTCTCCTGACAGGTGGCTGCTGGGGGTGTTACCCGGGGCCGCCCATGCTGAGCACGAGAGCAGCTGTCTGCTGGGGTGCGACTCGCCCGACAGCAGAGTCTGCTGCCTCCTGGGGGGATCGTGCCCCAAGCTCTGCCAGCCCTAAGGAATGACAACACTGACAACATCTATATCATGAGCCTGATCTTAGTGACATGAATTCCACACTAGTGATTGTATTTCAGTTTTGCAAATACTGTTCTTTAACTTCTTTCAGGAACCTTATAGCATTAGCAAAGCAATGCATGTAAGACTAATCAAAGCTCATTTTTATTCTGTAGCTTGTAGAACGAGAGCCACTGGTGTGTCACCTAGACCTACTAGAACCACTTCCTGCTGGTCCAGAAGAGCTTCCTGATGAATTTTTTGAAGTCACGGTGGATGACGTACGGAAACGTTTGGCACAGTTGCAGAGTGAGAGGCAAGTTCCCTTTCTGCTGGTGACTGAGATTGCTCCATGCCCGTTTGTTGGGCAGAGGGACACTATGCACCCGTAGCTGGCTGTGCTCTCGGGGTAAAGGCTTGTAGATAAGTTACTGATCGTGGAATTAATGATCAACACTGGAAATCTCTATCCTATATGCCCTTTGAGATCAAGGGCTATGTCTTGTTCCTGTGCCAGAACCTGTGTTTTTGTGTCAATCCGTTGAGCGTCTGAGCATGGGATAACGGGTTCATGGGGATGTTGAAAATTTCCTCATGAAGTCCCTGGGATGTCTGTGTGCTGATAAGTTTATCTGAGAACCTCAAGCTAATCAGGGATGGAGCCCTCAGAGAAAGTATTGAGACAGATTCCCTCCTGTGTTCTGCCTTCCAGGGAGTTACTCAAAGCCACTTAACACCCCACCTCTCTTTCTTTCTTTCCTTCTCCCTTCTGAAAGAGAAGACACTGCCTTTGTAATTAGATGTGCCCTTACTTGCTAGAGGCCCAAAGCAGTGGTGAGCTCCTGCTACCTGTTTTGATGTGACTTCACATTAACTATTAGGAATTAAATGGATGGAACTTGTAACTTGTGATGGACAAATGTATGCACACAATGATCCGGCTGCATCAGAATAGCTCCAGCTGACTTCAGTAGGAGCTAGTAGCATTTTCAGCCAGTAACAGTACTTTAAGTAACAGAATTAACCTATATGTTCCTTAACAAAACTAATGTCATGAGTGTATTTAGTATCAAATGGATCGTAATGTTCCTTTACACATTACATTCTCCGAGACTGCGGGACAGCCTGCTTGACACTGTAACCAACTCTGAGTTGAACTTTTTACTTAGGGATGATTTTTTTCCCCACAGGCCACTGAAATCCACATGAGTACGCAGATTGGCCTGAAAATTGCTCTGCTGCTTGTGGGTCTGGAGTATTTAGTGGTACAGATGTAGGATCATTTGGTTGGGGGTTACTGGAATACAGCCCCCTCAGAAAAAGACCTAATTTCCAAATTTGCTGATGCTTGTAATCCCTTTTCCCCTCACAGCCAGGGATAAAAATAAAGGCAAGTTACACATGAAACTGATACCAGTTGGCTTCTGATCTCAGCTGGTGAATCTTAACAAAATCTAACTGCATACAATGCAATATTTTAAATGCAATTAGAATTTAATTGTGACTTCCTGAAGAGCTGAGAATTGTTATGAATCAGCAGTTGGTACACAGAGAAGGAATGGAGCGGATTAGTTTCATGTTTGCTTCTCAGACAGTGAGTTGGCACTTTCAGAGCATCCTGGAATGTGGTTCTGGGTACAGCTGGTAAAGTAAGCCTGTAGGATTGTTCTGTTCAGCAGCTGTTCCTGAGGTACCTTGATGATTCTTAAAAATAAAAATCAAAAGAGGTCCTTGAGACTGTATAGGTGTAAGAGGTTAACTTGCAAATAGTTGTGCAGAATTACATGACCAAATATTTCACCAAAATCTAGCCTGGTAAATCAGTTATTCAGAATTAAGTGCAAACAAGGAAGAGGGACTAAAGCTGAACATGGGATCTGTTGGATATAAGCTGAGTTCTTTACTTACAGGAAAATCCATAGTTGTTTTCTTGAATTTATTGTTTCATCTTAAATACAGGTAGATTTTATTTTTTTTTTTTTTCACCGACTGTTCCTTTTCAAAGACCAGTCTACAACGCCAGTTCTTGAATGATCTGAAACTTTTTTTTGTTTCCCTGTTGCTAATTAATACCCATTAATTTCTTGTGCCAGCATTGTTTTTCAGCTTCAGTAGCTCTTCTCCCTTTCTGGAGTAATTACATCAAACTTTAGTCTCTGTTTTATTTGATTAATAAATCCATCTCCTCTTGAGTAGTCTAAGCAAACATTCACCTGCTCTTCTTAGCATCTCTTCTGGCATCTGATGTACTGAACTTATTTTTAAAATTGTAGAAGAAAAGTAATTTTATACAGTATTGTTGCTGATGCTCAGTAGTTCCATATATGAGGTTTTGGGGCAGGAACCACAGGAGGTGGCGAAAATGCTGTGAGGGACACATGGAACAGCTGAGCAGTGCTCATCAGCCCTACTTGGACCTTTTGCTTTCTTAATAAAATAAAAATACATCTTAAAATTGCAGAAGTGACAGCTTGTTTTCTTCCCATGTATCCAGGAAACGCCTGGAAGAAGCTCCACTGATGACAAAATCTTTGAGGGAGGCTCAGCTGAAGGAGAAGTTAGAGCGTTACCCAAAGGTAGCCTTTGTTCTTTTTCCAGTCCCTCTGGCTAGTCCAGACTTTGGGGTTGAGTAACTTTGGGAATCAATTGTAATCAACAGGATCTTGAGCTACTTTTAAGAAGACTTTTCAAATTCCCGTCCCTGTTAATTGTTTGTGGGACTTGCACAACAGTTGTACCGTGTAAAATCAGCTGTGCTGTCATGATGCGGTTGAGTGGCAGGCAGGATAGCTCCTCCTGCTCTGTTCCAGATGTTTCAAAACCCTTACGCTGTGCACACACCAGTCTGTGTCACTGAACTTTCCTATCCACTTCTCTGAAGACTCTTACACTCTGATGGTATCTCCTTACAAGTTAAATAATAAGATGTTACAGCTGGGAGATACCATGCTCTGTTCATACAGTCCTGGTGCGGTTTTTGTCTTTGGTGATTTATTGCAAAAAGTAAGAGATTAAGTTTCCAAGTGGAGAGCGCTCTGAGCAATGCTGGCAATAGGATGGCAGGAGAGTTCCTGCTGCGATGGCCCCTCAGGGTGCTGCCACACTGCACCTGACCATGGGTGACTTTCTGCTGTGTGCGTCACGTAGCCCCTGGAGCTCTTGCTCTGGATTAAGTGTTCCTGTAGACCAGCTCTGTCAGAGCCTCGGAGAGCAGACAGCCCGTGTTCTCTGATGAGCTGCTCAGTAATCGATGGCCAGTGTGCTCTTCTACCCCGGTAGAGTAAACATCTCAAACCTCCCTGTTTTAAAAAACCCCACCTTGCTTGCAGGTTCTAGGACAAGGACAGGTGTCACAGAACAGCCATAAACAATTGACCTAATGTGCTTTGCCTCTGACTTAGGTGGTGTTGAGAGTCCATTTTCCAGACCGTCATCTTCTACAGGGGTTCTTCCATCCTAGTGAAACTGGTAAGAGCCATCTGCAGGTGCAGGTCCCCTCTCATCCTCCACGAGTCGCGTGGCCGAAGAGAGGGGCTCTGGACAGACCCTCCTGCTGTCCGGGGAGGTAATACTGCTCTGAAAAGGCAGCAGCAACTAGTTACGGTGTCCTTACAGGGCCCCGGAATGGGAAGAGAAAAGAGTCTGGGGTCATTAACTTGGTTTAGGGAGGTTTATTTCCAGGACTACTTGATAGAAACTGTCAGGCTACTTGATGGCAAAACGTGTGCTCAGGAAGCTCCCCCTTGATGTCCCATTGTCCGTGTCCAGGTGGCACATGGCTGCAGGGAGTTTGGACACTTCCTCTGTGTTAGTGCTTAAAAAGTTTTGGGGAAAAAACCCACACCCCCTCCCCCAATCCAAAACAAAATTAAAAAAAACCCAAACAAAACAGGAAGAAGCTTTACCCACTGGAATAAGAAGACCAGGGGATGAGCCTTCCTTCCTCTCCGTTCCCAGACTGTGCACCAAGTAGGCTCCTACTGTTGTTAACAGAGATCCTCTTACTCTCAGCTGGCAGTGATGGTTACCCACACAATTTTTTGGATACTTCTGTATGGAAGAACAACTAATAATCAGTTACCAGAGTCTCACCTGGTGGGTCTCTGCAAATCTGGCAGCTGCTGTTGGATTTCCTAGGAAGAACTTCACTGGCACCCTTAGATTTTGCTAAGGGACCAGGATGTCTTAAGTGGGAGTTTGTTTTTTTCTCCAAGATATTTGTAATAGTAACAGTGTTCTCTTGAGGAAAGGCAATCTACAGGCATTGTAAAGGGCAGTTCTGCTGTTACAGGTTAATGTTTTTGCCCAGCATCCAAAGAAACAAATGTAATTCATCAAACCTTTCTCTCCTTTTCTCACAGTTGGCATTTTGAGAGACTTCGTCAGAAGCCACCTTGCAGAGGCAGACTTGCCATTTTACTTGTGTGAGTGTGCTGTTGGTAATATTTAGCCTTACTTTACAAAGTCTGTTCCTAGCTGTAGTGCATATGGGATCTCGTGATGCCATGAGGTATGACCTGGGGAGGAATTCCTTCCCTAAATACAACCTCAGAGTGCAAAGGTGTCACCTGCTCACTTGGCCACGTTATGCTTCTGCCTAGTAAGAAGCCTCTGTGGGCAGTGTGACTGTGTCACTCCTTTAAAGAGCAGTAATCCCTCCCGTACCTGCTGTATTTATTGTTTTGGTTGCTGGGTGGTCCTGTTTTGTAACTTGTTTTTTAACTTCAGTTATTGCACCTCCCAGAATCATCTTGAACGATGAAAGTTTGACACTCTTCGAGGTAAGGACTCACACGTGTGCTCTGTGATTCTCTCTGACTTGCTGCTTCCCCTCACCCCGCCATATGCTTTGGTTACTTTTAAAAGAAGCTGTATAATGTGATCCCTGTAGGCTTCTGCTTAGCCAAGACTAATGGAACCAGGTGTTTTGGAGCACAAGCTCTTCACCAGAAGAGGTCCACCTTGTACAACAATATGCGCTGGCATCGTGTGGCAGGCGTGGGGGTTCGCATTGTTTCACGCGTGTGCTCACGGAGTCTGAGCTGTGTTTAACCTTGGAACGTTTCTGCGAGAGCTGAGCTGACCTGAGTTTGCTCTGTCTGTAGCTGGACTAGTCTAGCAGGAGATGTGAGACTGGATTTGGGTAGGTGACTGTTCCCAGTTCCTACAGCAGGAGCTAAGGCCATATTAGACAAGAATGTGATCTTTTCAATAAGTGCTGTGTGAGAATTTACTTTAAGCCTGCTTGTACATTGAGGAATATGTGCTGTGTATGTGTAACTTTTCTTAAAGGCTGAAATTTAGTTTTTCAGATCCAGATTCCTGGAGGTTTTTTGCAAATGTCAAATAAAGTGGTCTTGAAGTCTCTGGCTAGAGACTGTGTAAATCACACACGTGTTAGTGGGCTGACTGAGGGGTTTTACTGGTGACTTTGCCCCAAACTCCCCTGTTTGAGATGTGCTGCCATTCAGCACTTCATGGCCACTTGCAGAGCACTGCACTGAAGGTCCCTTGCAGGGTAAAGGGTCAAGCAGACTGCACTGGGAGCTTTTGCTTGCTGGCCCTGAGGGAGCAGAAGGGGTGGGGCAGGGAGAGGGGTAGATAAAGGGGCTTTTCAGGCAGCATGGTGAATTAGGTAGGGATTAGCATGCCTCTGAAGCTTGTTTGTAATGGAGCTTTCCAAATTCCACAACTTCCTGACCAGGCCGTGGGGAAGAGATACACGTGCAGCTGCCTTTAGACTATTGAATGTTCAGGGAAACAAAGTGTGGAGATCTCTGTTTGCAGTGGGAAGTCTCTCCCTTCCTAATACACCATTAAGAATTCTTTGCTGAAATTTGAAGTTTTGGGAGTGGTTTTGTTGACGTTGGAGATCCCTGTATTGTCACCATGCCTGTGAGAGGTTTAGCTTCTTAGGGAGTCCTAAGCCTCTCGGGGATCACAGCCCTGTTTGGTTCTGTGGTTCAGGAATTGCTGTGCAGTAGCTCTTGGCCCGCACCCAGCTTCACAGCCCGTGTCTATCAGCCTTCCCACCTCCTCTTGACCGTGGTCTTGCTCGGATGCGCAGCTTGGCTCTGCTGCTCCCACCAACAGGAATGGGACAGTGTGTTGGTAAGACATAACGTCGTTGTGGGCGGAGAGAACGATTTTTCTTTTCAAAGCCATTTTGTATATTTTAATTAATAATTAAAATACCAGTGGAAAGCACTTTGTGTCTTTGAGCCAGGAGATTTTGCCATTCGGGTGTGAAGGCAGCTCTCCCACTTCCCCTGACTTGTGCCATCTCACCCACATTTGTCACACAAAACCCTGTCTCAAGGCACGCATGGTAACCATGGTGGGAAATGCAAGGGACGAACCTCGTCTTCCTATTTCTGAGAAATCCCATGACGGGGAAACTGTCTATGGTTGCGTTGTTAAGGATATATTTGGAAAACATTCAGAGGAACAGCAGATAAAAAATGTTCTGCACTTGTTAGCAGCTCTGAGACGAGGGAAGCAGCCGTAGTGCTGTGACTAGTACAGACTGGTCTGACATGGCACATGCACGCTACTCTCCGCCTTTCTCTGTCTTTTTTTTCCCTTTCTTTTTTTTCCGTCCTAGTCTGTCATGTCTGAGCACATCCCTCACCCAGAGTTCCTTTACACACATTTTCTAACATGCTTTTTGGAAAGCTTTTTCCATCGTTCCAAAGCATGGTCTCTCTGCAGCTCTCGCCAGCACAGTTCTGCATAAAACGGGTGGATTTCTGTCATCTTCTAAGATTTGCCTGGGATATGTTCCCAGATTTCCTGTCCCAGCCTTCAGACTTGTGTCCCTATGAATATACTGCTTGCTTTTCAGTGTCTCTGTAGGAAGTGATACTCTCCCCCACGCTGTATGCCACATTTTCCTCTAGAATCTCATGGACTTCAAGTTTTGGCACTATTTGTTTTTAATTTAAGACGGACTTTTAAAAAAATTTTGTTAAGCACATCCTAGATGCTGAAGACTCAAGGTCTGCCTGTGTAATGAACCTTTTTCCCATTCTCAGTTTGTTTTCTGTTGGATGTTTTGTTGCTCCTGCGGATTCAAGGTGCTTACCTTTCCGACACCGCTTTCTTCCCTTGTTGTCTGTTGCTGTTGGAAAATACCCTGTCTGCTCATGTACCTGTCCTCACCCCCTTGAAACCACCTCAACCATTCTCTTGCTCTTTTTAATTACCTTCTAAACCCTTTGCATACCATACTGATTCCACAAAGGAGGTTTCTCTGCCTTTTCAGTAAACTTGAACACAGCACCCTCTTTGACCTGTATCTGCCTCCTATTCCTCCAGCCTCTGATGCTGTCTCCATTGTTAGCTTTGGTCTGTCTTCTAAACTAAAGGTAAAAATCCTCTGTTTACCTATATTTACTCTTTGTCTGCCCCTCCCTTCTCCCCCATTCTTTTATTTTCTCTTTTTCAGCATACATCTGATGTTTCTCTAGATGTCTTCTGAAACATAACTCGTTCAGTGAAACGCCACAGAAATAATTATGTCTCCTGTCTTTGAATCAGAAACTTTATGGCAGGAATTTTGTTTAATTTGCTGTGTTAAAGCCTTTGTTCCATACCTGGCACTGTTGCTTGTGCTTGTTGCATGTGCAGAAATTACCCACTTTCCTAGTTGTGACATTTACTGTGGAATTTATTCCTTGTGGCAGCTCCCTAAAACATAAAAATGTGTTAAATTAGTGCTCTGTAAAGACTGCAAGCTGCTTTACGGCCGAGTCTTTTGGATTTCTTTAGAACCTGGTCGGTTTTGGTGTCAGGCATCCTCAGTCTGTAGTGGCTTCCCTGAGATCGAAGTGCTTGCTGTGTCACGTGGCAAAGCTGCAAAGCCTTGATGTTAGTACAGAACTGTGGTTGTTCATAGAATCATATCATAGAATCACAGACTGGGTTGGGAGGGAGCTTACAGCCCACCCAGTGCCACCCCCTGCCCCAGGCAGGGACACCTTCCACCAGCCCAGGTTGCCCAAAGCCCCATCCAACCTGGCCCTGACCCCTTCCAGGGAGGGGGCAGCCACAGCTTCTCTGGGCAGCCTGTGCCAGGGCCTCACCCCCCTCACAGGGGAGAATTTCTTCCTTCAGTCTCATCTGAATCTCCCATATGTAAGTTTAAAACCATCACCCCTTGTCCTATCCCTCCCCCTGATGACGAGTCCCTCCCCCGTTCCTGCAGCCCCTTTCAGCCCTGGGGGGCCGCTCTAAGGTCTCCCCGGAGCCTTCTCTCCTCCAGCTGAACCCCCCAACTCTCCCAGCCTGTCCTCACAGGGGAGGTTCAAGATACAGTCCTTGAAAGCTGAAAATTCTCCTGCAGATTGACTGTTTTAAGGAATGATTTTTCCCATTTCTCGCTTGGTGTCAACACAAAAGAAGAGTAATATCCAATTAAGATAAAGGGTGGCAAATCCAAAGTTGTTTTAAGAAATATTTTTTTTCATGCAATGTGTAATCACAGTGTTAGTCTAATTAAACTGTAATTAAAAAGTGGTTGTGTTGAGAATTTGGGCATAATTAATGAAAAATGGATTTTTAAAGCATAATCTAAGTATACAGAATCATTCCACATTTTGCAAATAATTGTAAAGCAATTAAAATCTCGTGCTTAAAATATATTTTAGGGATTGTAAAATGATATTATGAAGAGAATATTATCAATTACTTGTCTGTTACACAACTCGGCGTTTTCCTCTTACCCAGCTGGCTCAGGGTAGGTCAGTGTAGTGACGGTGTGGGGAAGGGTAACTGCCCTTCATACGCATTTCAGTGAGCTCTTGGGATGATTCCTGCTGCTCTGGAGCAATGTCTTAATGTGGTGAAATTATCAGCTCATTACTGAATAGCAGTCAAATCCTAAATGACCTTCTCAAACCCCAAAGTATTCGGAACGAAGTAGATAACAAAATGAAGAACATCACAGTGTCACTGTATGAAACCAGGGTTTGCTTTGTCCTGAGTATGTGTGCAGATCTCCTCTCATCTTACAAAGGGCTGGTGCAGGTGCAGAGAAGGGGCGTGAGGAGCCTCAGAGGTCTGGAATGACTCCTGCGTGGAGAAAGACTAAGTAGGCTAGGACTTGTCTACGTCATGTCCACAATAAGACATGACTGGGAAAGAGCTAAGCTATCAAGGAGAAGGTGGAAGGGGTTGATTTCTTACTCTCTCCAGTACAAGAGTACAGAGTAAGAGTACATCAGGTGAGGCCAGCAGAAGCTGGAGTGGACGGAAGGAGAAAACTGAAGTTTTTTTACTTAGGAATAAGGAATTCCTTATCACAGGGTGCTATATACTAAGAGTATGTACTGGTCCAAGAGAAAGTGGGACAAGTTCAAGGAAAATACCTACTGAGAGTCTCTCTGAATATATAGAAACCGTCTTGGGAAGCTTCTGAACTGAAAATCATTGCTGTCTAATAGCATGAGGGGAGGGTACCCCGTATACAAAGAGCAAGGACACTTTGTGCGTCGGTGGTTTTGCTCCTGTTAGAGACAGATGCTGCCTGGACTGACGCACTCCTGGTCTGCAGACAGCTGTTCCTGTGTCCCTGCACATTGCTGGAGGTGCAGCGCCCAGCCGCGATTCCTGTATTGACTCCTGCCCCACAGATCGAGTGAGAATGGACACATGAAACAGAACACAAAATTTCATGTCTAGCAAAGGATTTAAACTGCTATATATGACTCTTTTCTTTGAATATCCTGGAATAATTAAGCCTTTGTAACTTTATTGTCTGTTAGGTGTTTAAGGTTTTTTT